TCCATAGTGGCGAAGCGAGAAATTTGGGAGTAGGACTTGTGTGTGTGGGGATCGGAAACCATCACATAAGTTCACCTACTAAAAAAACTGTCACATGAGCACGTCAACAATCTTTAAACAATATAACTGGTCCAGATGTCTGACCCAACCCCTGATTACCTATTGAATCCTACGTGGACAAGTACGTTTGTCAAATTTGAAATTTTTTCCATGTCATCCTGGTTGCATCTTCTCCCCAAAACATACAGGTCTAAGTTAAATGTCTCTCACGGTTCTTACCCCTATCCCCGTTAAGTTGTGGCTGAGTAATTTCAAACAACCATATCCCTGGAGAAGAGGAGCACATCCATCTATGAATTCGGACCGTAGGGTTTTTGTCGAAGACCCAGAGCAATCGGTCATCTATGTGAAGATGAAGTAAGTTCATCCTCTCTCCAATCTTTCAAATTTAGGGTTCTTAACCTAATAAGGGTTCTTCATTGAGGTGTTCAAACAGTAGAACTGTTGAAATGTATTTAGCTTCGTGTGTCTCAAATAGTAAGGTCACTCCGAATCTCAATTACGAACCATCTGTGTATTGTAAATGCGGGTTGAAATCTCCTTTGTGTGTGACAAGAGGATCAAGTTGCAAGTTCTTTGGAAGGTAATTCAAGCTTAATAAGTTAGAGTTTTGGTTTTTTTTTTTTTTCATATTTGAAGCTTATTTAGTATTATTAGTATTTGAAAATGAATTGCTAATTAGGGTTCTACGACTTTCTGGACAGGATAATATTTTTACACCGAAATTAAGTCCAATTCAAACTGATGCAGGTAGGAGCTGTGTGTGGATTCTTTGCTTGGAAAGAAGACATTGCAAAAAGAGAATATCCTACACCACGGGTTGAGGAGGTCAAAAAACATATGTATGACTTGATAGAAGAGGTGATACATGTATTAGTATATATGTCATAGCGACAATCACTTTTTAGAGATATATGCACTTGATCATATATTCAGTTTTTTATATTTGATATATACGGTATTACATATTGATGATTAAGCATTTCGATTGTTAATATCTTATTCATAATTGTGTTCCCTTGAACTTATGTTATCAATAAGTAAGTGGGAGCTTATATTGATTATATGCAATAAGATTGATATGTGGACTACATCATACTTTTAGAAAGTATAGTTGATCTCACAACTATGAGTCCCTTTAATTTCATGATGGTTACATAGATATTTTAGAGAATATTGACATACCCACTGAGAAGTCATTTGATAAGTTTTATTCATATTTCTATGGGATTATCGACATATAGAGTAGCGTAATAGTCCTCCAACTTGAGGTCAATACGTACTACATGTGCGGAGCGATATACTCCAATCGGGGTAGATACGACATGTGTTCGGTGCATCACCAAGCACATGGAGTAGTAGTTGAGCCAAGAAAGGATTCATTCCTCGTAATAGATTAAAAAGAACATTATACTTCTCATATCTAGATGGATCATATAGTCATTGGCCAATGCAAAGATATATTCGTTTTAGATATCGAATATGATTGTGATGGATCATTTAGAAAAATTGAGAGACAAAGAATAAGTTATTGAGATAGACACAAATATCATGTTCTAGACTTAGAAGTTGTTCTCTTCATGTTATTCTTATTACTTATTGCTTATTCTTATTTTATTCAGACCGGATCAGAAAAATTCAGATCAGAAAGATTCAAATCAGATTAGAAACATTCAGATCAGAAAATTTCAAACATGATTTATCGCTTTATTATTATTAATTATAATAATAGTAATTATATAATAATAATTATTATTTGGAACGAAATAAGCATGTTATATTCCTTTCCAATGGCCAATAAGCACAACCTTCTCACATATACAAAAAAAAACAGGGCACACCCCTACCAGAACCCCTAACAAACAGGGGGAAAACAAAACCTACCAAAAATCTACAGCAAAATTAAATCACAGGATAATGTGTAAATCTGTTAAAGAACCAAGATATCTCCATATCTTTGGCACACCTACAAGCAACCTTTTGAACAACCTGTCTGAGAAGATATTGTGGTTCCAAATGTGTATCAGTAAAGCTTCTCATGTTCCTTTCTTGCCATATAGAATAAAGCATTTCAGTAACCAGAGCTTTCATGATTTTGTTAGGCAGCCTCTTCCCCTTCATATTTGTGCATAGTAAAGGAATAAATTGAGCCCAATTGCAAATATGTAGTCTTCTGCCCAACCATCTATATAAACATGCCCAGAGTTTCTGAATTTTAGGGCATTCAAACACATATGGTCCACTGTTTCAAGATGATTTCCACAGAAGACACAAGAAGCATCAGGAACAGGAATATGGAAATGTAACAATCCATCTTTAGTAGCAATTCTATTCCACAAGATTAACCACAAAATAAATCTAGCACGAGGAGAAGCCTTATTCTGCATTACCATTTCCTTCCAGTTAACTTTTGCAACAGAAGATATGAGCAGGCCATACATATCTCTTCTTCTAAAAAAACTCTTCCTTCAATTGCTTCTGCCAATCACCCAAAAACTGCACCTTTTCCCTCATTTTCAATATTTTCTTGAACGTGAATGAGGCATGGACAAGCACATCCATATGCAGCACATTTTGATTTTTAATATAGTAAGAATTAACCCACTTTATCCACAATTTATCTTTTTTCAAGTGGATAGCCCAAAGCAATTTTAAGTAGCATACTCGGTTCCAAGTTTCCAAGTGTATCAACCCTAAGCCCCCCTCGGCTTTTGGTCTACACACTGATTCCCAAGAAACAGGTGATTTTCTACCAATTGTGTCCCCTGTCCAGAGAAATTGTCTACACATTGTATTAATCAACTTGATGACTTTTTTGGGAAGGAAGAATGCTTGGCCCCAAAACTTTTGAACTGCATGAAGGACACTTTGAACTAATTGTAATCTCCCCCATAGCTAAGCAACTTAGCAGTCCATGCCTGATCTTCCCTAGCATTTTAATAAAAAGAGGTTATATTGGAGTATGAAGAGTCTCTTACAGCTAAGAGGTACTCCCAAATAATAATAATAATAATAATAATAAGGGATAAGGGTCAGATAGGGCCTCGAACTTGGAAAAAAATGTCAAATAAGGCCATATTTAGGATGCTATGTACGGATGACGCTATTTGGAGCGGTTCCCGGTGGAATTTTTTGATGATTTTTTTTGAGAATCTTATTCATTAAGTCTAGTTTACTCATATCAAATTTGAACTAACAATTCAACTGGGAAGGCATTCAAATGAATTCTTGAAGATAACTGCGCTTTTAACTGCACAGTTATCTTCAAGAATTCATTTGAATGCCTTCCCGATTAAAGTTTTAGTTCAAATTTGATATGAGTAAACTAGACTTGATGAATAAGATTCTCGAAAAAATTTGTCAAAAAATTCCACCGGGAACCGCCTCAAATGGCGTCAGCCGGACAGAGCATCCTAAATATGGCCTTATTTGACATTTTTTTTCAAGTTCGAGGCCCTATCTGACCCTTATCCCTAATAATAATAATAATTATTATTATTATTATTATTATTATTATTATTATTATCATCATACAAAGTATGAAATAAATTGTAATTATAATTGAAATTATAATTACAATTATAACTATAATTAGAATTACAATTACAATTATAATTATATAAATAATTATAATTAAGAATATATTTACAATTATACTTAGCTCTATAGTTATAATTAGTGTAATAGGTATAAATATTTATAATTATGATTATGATTATAATTTTATTTAAATTATATTTGTAGTTAGAATTATAATAATTATAATTATAATTATAGAAATATTCAAATCAGGTCAGATCAGATCAGATCAGAAAAATTCAGTTCAGATCAAATCAGAACTTAAAAAATTCAGATCAGAAACATTCAGATCAGGTTAAGAGAACATCTTCTTAGCTAAATGTTCGCTCTATGAAAAGACCGTATCACTATGAGCTCTGTATCACTTAGCAAACATCTTTGTATATTAAGATTGTCTGGTGAATAGTCCTCACCTGCATTAAATGACCTTTGAGTTCGATCGTGTTAGTTATTATTCATTAAAAAGATTTTAAAATAATATCCTCTGCGTGGTTTTGGATATTTGGATAATGAAACCGTGGATTCTCCTCAATTGTTGTACTTTTAAGATGACATAAATCGCGTTAATTAAGGAGCTATCAAAACCTATGAAGCACGGATACTTCCCTAGGGTAGCGTATCGGCGTATCGGATACGTTCCCGTATCCGATACTCTAGGATACACGTACTGTACGTTCCCGGGCCGTATTTGCAATTTTTAAAAGTTTCCATTTTTTTTTGTAATTTTTTGAAAGTTTCCGATACTCGTATCCTGACGGATACTCGTATCAACTTTTAAAAAAAAATCCCAAAATTTAATTAATAAAATTCTAAAAAAAAATGAAAATTTAAAACTACATTTTACTTGGTAATCAAATAATGGGCCTAAATGGCTATATCCGAATCAAGTCATTAACTCATACTCCGAAGTGGGTACTTGCACTTTTAATTTCAAGATTGTAGTTGTTTGACTTATTTCTCATTTTAAATTAATGATTTATTGACTACATTTATATTTCGAGATACACTAATGCATATGAGAAATATTATGAATTTATTACTAAGTATCTTGAAAAAGGAAAATGTTTCAGTGCAATGAATGGGTAGACATCATAGGATATTATATGCATATATATATATATATATATATATATGTATATATATATATTAAAAAAATCTATTATTAATATTTATAAATAGACCCCTATAACTTTTAATATTTGTAAATACACCCTCATTACTTTTAATATTTATAAATATGGCCCCGTATCCGTATCCTACTTTTTTTGGTTTTGACGTATCCCCGTACCCGTTTCCGCGTTTCCGCGTTTCCGCATACCGGTATCAGTGCTATATACATCAAAACAATTGCATAAACGTGGATTCTCCTCAACGTTTTTTGTATCTACTAGATAAACATTATAAGATGCGAATTATTTGATTGGACACAAAAAGTCAGAAATAGCATAAATAATGTATTATCGCAGCATTTATCGCTTCAAAAAGATAGTAACAAATCCTTGTAGGATGATCGATGGTGAGGATATCTCAATATTTTTTTTTAAATTGCCTTATTTTATTTAAAACAGTAGTTCTCTACAATAAACTATATATTATTTAATTAATAATAATGAAGGAAAAAACTCAACCTAGGTTTTTTTTTTTTTTTAATTTTGCAAATTGAAATGTGAAAATGTGATATTTGATAAAAATATGGCTCATCAACGTACGGAACATTACTTAAGTAAACAAAACAAAACAATGGCGTCAGCTTGAAACCCTACGACGGCGAGAAATCAGCGGAAGGATATTGATGCCGGCGGCGGCTTGACGGGCGAAATTTGGTGTGAAAGGCTCGTCGGTTCACGTTTGGAACTCCAGCGATCTCCAAAGCCATCGAGGCCTCAATCTTTGGCAGAAGGTTACGGAATTGGGGAGAGCAGATTGAAGATGTTAGTCCATAGGGGGGGAACCTGAGAAGGAACAATCGATAGCAGGTATTTTGGTCTTCGAGCGGTTCCTGGGGCAGGCTGGGCTAGCTTCAATGAATGTTTGTTTTTTCTAGGCTTGTCCTAGCAGTTAGGTCCGGCAGTGCTTTTCCAATGAGTATAATCAGTTGGAATTGTTGTGGTCTTGGAAATCCGGCAACGGTGCAATGTTTGGCAGATATTATTCAAGTTCATCGTCCATCTGTGATCTTCCTGATGGAAACAAAAATCCGGTGTCAAAGAGCAAAGGAGGTACTGAGAACAAATGGCTTCTCCCAGAGTGTTGGTGTGGACAGTGCAGGCTTGGGTGGGGGACTGATGGTTGGATGGAATGAAGACTTGGAACTAAATGTTGTACAGTGCCATGCTAATGTCATTGACACTACTGTTAGATTAGCGCCAAATGATCAGGTTTGGAGGCTCACCTTTTTTATGGCTTCCCGGAAATCGTGCGCAGGGGAGATGCTTGGAATATGTTGAAAGGTTTAGGGGAAAACAATAATGTAACATTGATGATTTTAGGGATTTCAATGATATTTTATATGAGTCTGAGAAGAAAGGAAATACTTTCCAGCAACCCTGGCGACTAAATGGGTTCAGGGATGCGGTGGCATCTTGTGGCTTGAGGGACTTCCCATTTGAGGGATATCAGTGGACCTGGGAGCGAGGTAAAGGCACGAACTATCATGTGGAAAAGAAGTTGGATAGAATCCTTGTTAATGACGATTGGTGGAACAGGTATACGGCGGCACAAGCATCCTCGGTGGAAGCTCCGGTGAGTGATCACATGGCCTTATGGGTTAAAGTTATTCCGGCACCGGTTACTCGAAGAGATAAAATTTTTAAGTTTGCAAATAACTGGCTGAAGGAAGAGGAATGTAGGACTGTGGTAGGTAATAGTTGGAGGGCGAGCCATCATCTCTCGGTCAGTGAGAGAATTCTTTTTTGTGGTTCTGAACTTCTGAGATGGGACAGTCGCAGAAAGAAAGGGTTTAGACAGCAGATTCAGGCATGCAAGAGGCGTTTGGCATGGTTACGGGGTAGAGATGACTGGAGAAGCACAGGGGATTTTTTACGGATTTGGTCTACACTCTATTCTTTGATGGAAAAGGAGAACTTATTCTGGAAGCAGAGAGCAAAAGAATTTTGGCTAAAAGAGGGAGATATAAATTCCCGGTTTTTCCATAATGCGGTCAAAAGCAGAAGGCGAAAAAATAAATTATCCGGGCTAAAGAGAATTGATGGCACGTGGTGTACGGATAGAGGTCAGGTGGGGGCTATGGTTCGAGACTATTTCGAACAACTATTCACCCGAAGGGGTAACACAGGAGTGGCTGATTGTTTTGGGAATTTTGGCCAGATTACAGCTGAGCAGAATCGACTTTTACTTCGAGATATTTGTCCAGAGGAGGTTCGATCAGCTATTTTTGATATGCATCCTGAGAAAGCCCCGAGATCGGATGGTATGAATCCTGCCTTTTTCCAAAAATATTGGGATATAGTTGGACCGGATATATCTAGGCTTTGCTCAAATATTTTTGATTCAGGAATTATTCCAAGAGAACTCAATGTGACTAATCTTGTTTTAATTCCAAAAAAAGATAAGCCTGAAGATATGGGGGATTGGAGGCCGATTGCATTATGTAATGTGGTGTATAAAATTTTCTCAAAGGTTTTAGCCAATAGATTAAAATTCTTATTGGGAAGTCTTATTGGAGAAAATCAAAGTGCGTTTGTTCCAGGGCGGTCTATTGTGGATAACGTTGTTGTGTCATTTGAGACACATCATGTTTTGAAAAGAAAATGCAAGGGTAAAGAGGGGTTTGTTGCCTTGAAATTGGACATGAGCAAAGCTTATGACAGAGTGTGTTGGGATTTTTTACGAGAGATTATGATCCGAATGGGGTTTGCTGTGAGATGGGTGAATATGGTTATGGAATGTGTTTCGACGGTCAGCTATTATGTACAATTTGAGAGGGATTTTTTGGGACCGATTACACCTGGTCGTGGCCTCAGACAGGGGGATCCCCTTTCTCCTTATTTGTTTATTATGGTGGCGGAAGGCCTGAGTGCATTACTGAAGAAGGCGGAGGCTCGGGGCGACATCCACGGGGTGGCGGTCTGTAGGGGGGCACCTCGGGTCTCACATCTTTTATTTGCGGATGACAGTTTTCTTTTTTTCAGAGCTACTAGCGAGGAGGCAGGGATTATTAAAGATATTTTATCTGTTTATGAGGAGAATTCAGGGCAAATTGTGAACTATGGGAAGTCTTCGTTATCTTTCAGCCAGAATGTTGGGGAACAGTTCAAAGGAGCCTATTGCAGTATTTTTGGGATCCCGATGGTAGGGGGTCAGAGTAGATATCTTGGTCTACCAACGCTTGTGGGTAAGAATAAATATGCTATTCTAGGCTATTTAAAAGACAAAATTTTTAACAGGATTAAGAACTGGAATAATAGATTTTTATCCAGGGCAGGTAGAGCGGTTCTGTTAAAAAATGTGATTCAGGCTATGCCTAATTATGCTATGAACGTTTTTTTTGCTGCCGAATAATTTATGTGATGACATTGAGAAATTGATGAATGGGTTTTGGTGGAGAGGTGCAAAATTTGAGCAGAAGGGATTGAGGTGGAGACGTTGGGAGGCCCTTTGTAAGCCGAAAAATATGGGGGGTCTGGGATTTCGGAGAATAAGGGAATTTAATCTAGCTATGTTAGCGAAACAGGGGTGGAAGCTAGTCACAGAGCCGGCTAGTTTGATGAGTAGAGTGTTGAAGGCCAGGTATTTTCCCAACTCGGATTTTTTAAATGCTCATGTTGGAAACAACCCTTAGCTTCATTCATTTGGTGTAGTATTTTTGAGTCACAAAATATTCTCAAAAATAACATCCGAAGGAGAGTTGGAAATGGGATAGATGTTCAGGTATGGTCCGATGCATGGCTCCCCGGAGAGGGGCCGGGCCGGGTTACATCTGCCAGACCGCCAGGAATTAGAGATATGAATGTGGCTGCCCTGCGGGACTTTACGGGGAAAAGGTGGAACAGAGGAAGAATTAATAATATTTTTAATGCAGAGGATAAACGGAAGATTTTGAGCATTCCTATTAGTTCATACGATAGGAAGGATGGGTATTGGTGGAACGGGGAGAACAGCGGTATTTTTTCTGTTAAGAGCTGTTACCGTTTACTTACAGGAGACTTGCAGAATGGGGATGGTTCTGACTGGGCTCGGTTATGAGATTTGCATGTCCTGCCGAAGCTCAAATTTTTTGCGTGGCAGGTTATTGATGGCTCTCTCCCTACTGTTGATAATCTCAGGCAAAAAGGAGTGCAGGTACTTGAAGGGTGTAAAGGATGCGGAGATAACAATGAATCAACGGAGCATGTTTTTCGACTGTGTGACCATGCAAAGGAGGTTTGGAGGCAGGTGGGAGTTGACTTGGGCAATCCGACGGACTCTGTGAACACTTGGATTTGGCATCATTTAGGTGGACCAAATGGGGAGGATCGTTGCAGATTTGTTGCTATCTTGTGGAGCTTATGGAAGAGGAGGAATGGCTGTGTCTGGAAGGATAGATGGCAAGGAACTGTGGGGGTTATAAATGCGGCGGCGGGTATTATTTCGAGCTGGAGAGATGCTCAAGGTACTGGAGGAGCAGGGCAGGGAAAGAAAGATGCTGGTCCAGTGACAGTTTGGAAGCGGCCGCGGGCTGGTTATATCAAGATAAATGTGGATGGGGCGGTGGATGAGGACAAGAACATTCGTGCCTGGGGATGGGTGGCACGTGATCACCACGGTAATTTTTTAAAGGCGGAGGGGGCCTCAGAGCTAGCTAGCTGGTCGGCTGTGGAGACAGAGGCGGTGGGCATTCGTGAGGCAGTGATTGGGGCATCTGAAGCAGGATGGACTCACGTGGAGATTGAGACTGACGCTCTCGCTGTGGTCCAAGGGCTCAAAAATGGGGGAGGAACTTCCTACCTTTTCCTTCTTATTGAGGATATTAGATGTTTGTTGAAAGATAAGAGTAATGTTACTATCTCTTTTTGTAAGCGATCTGCGAACCGTGTGGCTCATGCGTTAGCAAGAGCACATGTGTCTATCCCAGATCAGTCATGTTGTTATAATGTTATCCCTGATACTATTGTAAGCCTTCTGGCACATGATTTGGTGAATTAATACGACGGCCAGTTGGAGTTCAAAAAAAAAAGTAAACAAAACAATGTTACGTACCAAACATAAACAATATAGTGATATACTCCAGCATGCAGGGCGGATCCAGGAATCTGACATGCCCCGGGCTGAATAGGAATTATACTAGGCTTGAATACCAGCAGAGTGGGCTAAATATGAAAAATGAAAAATTTTACACTAAAAAAATTAAACATTTTCTAAGTTGCTCTGGGCTTCAGCCTACCATAGCCCGTACATAGATCCTCCCCTGCCTGCATGCCATTCATTATTATTTGTCGCCTTAGACGTTTAATTTCCACAGAGGTTAATTAATAAATTAAAGGTAGAAGGGATAATAATTAGAGGTTTTCCATCAATATTACTGTAATATAATTAATGGATTAAAATATTAATATGATTATTATGCATAATCGCTATAATGGTATACCTGAACACAATTATGGTCACTAAAGTTACTATGATAGTCATTAAGTCACATTTTTGTCAACAACTTTATTTTAGTCATATATTTTAATTTGTCATTATTTCTAATAATTAGATTAGAAAAAGTATGAAAAAGAAACATGAAAAGATAAAGAAAAAAAGTAGAAAAATGGGAAAGGCAGGAAGGAAAGTGAAAATAGAAAATAAAAAGAAATAGTTACATTTTCGAAATTATGACATCTCAAAATTGGTCATTATTATGGTAACTTTAGAAATAATAACTAACATTTAATTTTCACACTTAAGTGATCATGATACTATACTACTGGTAATCGTATAATAACTTCTAGTCTTATTTTGATATATAGCTTTTATATTAGTGACATTTTCAAAAAAATCAAAGAAAATTGAGTAAAGTGTGCATATAGAACTAAAAGCCGGCCCGTTTGCACAAATAGGACAACAAAATAAATTATGTTTCATAGGACTAATTATGTATGTTTGTGACAAATATACCCTTGAAGCTATTGAAATGTTTTAATTCATAATAAAATAATAAAAATTAATGAAAATTCGTAAAAATACTAGAAAATTAATAAAAGTACTTGAATCACTGTCGCCTCTGCCGCCGTAGCACCACCACCTCTGGTCACCAGGGGAAAAATGCCACATGCATTAGGAATGTCATATTTATGGCGGATTCAATGAAAATCTTGGCATCCTTAAAGACTAATATGTCATTTTCAGAAAAAATAACATTTTTTTACACCGGTCAGAGGTGATAGTGAAGGGAGTTATTACATGCTGTGGGAAAGACATCCATATTTTTTTAAAAATATTTTTAGGGATTTTTACTATTATTTATTTTTTTTATTTATATTTTTAAAAAATTAATTTTTTATTGTATAAATATTTTTTGTATTAATTTTTATTATTTTTCTATGATTTTTATTATTTTTACAAAGTTATTATGATTTTAAACATTTAATTATGAGTTTTGACTACCTTTTACTCATATTTAATAGAGGGGTTAAAATGGAATGAAAAACAGGCATGTTTTCAAATAGGAGTAAGTATTTTTACTCCTATTTGGGGTAATTTCTGAAGAAAAATATAAGAGAAAATGGGACAAAAGTCTATAAATATGAAAAATGTATAAAAGTAGACAAATAATTATAAAAACTTTATAAAATGATGTATGTGAAGTAATTAAAGAGAGTATCATCAGTCAATAGATTATTGAAGATAATTTAACTAGAATTTAGTTGGCAAACCTTTTTCTCCAAAATTAAAAACGTGGTCCAGTCCTGCCACACTTGTTGCCATGCATTTAGCTGTCAATGAACTATCTCGATGATAGGATATCTTGCCCCATATCAAATTATCAAGTAGCTGTCGCTCACATGCAGCCTCACAATACAGTGTTTAATTACCCTCATAAAGTTAGAAAGAATTAAAGAAAATTTTGCAATGATATGTTTTTTATGGAATCGCGCAAAACTTAGGAGAGGAAAGATGAAAGGCATGCAAAACTGAGTCAAAAGGTAGTAAAAGTAAATGTATTTATGTTCTTGTAGTCTTGTAGATGATCGAAAGACTTCTCAAAATAAAAAAGTTTTGCAACTAATAAAGTACTTGGTCTTTCTGAAAAAGAAATATGTTGCAAATAAATTAAAGTTCTTATTTCAAATACTCCAAAACTAATTAAAAGACTCTTAAATTACATTAATCATTAAATATTAAAAGTATTAGACTTGTATCATTACATTTATTATCAATGACCACATTGTATTATACACTTATCAAAACTATTTCTCATAATATATTTGAATTATCTTATTTAATTATTATTTAAATAATAGTGTCATTTTTTAATGGAAACCCACAACCAAGACGATCGAATAGATAGTAACATTTGAGTCAGGAGATCATTAAGCAAGTACTACGGTTTTGTTTGCAACCACTTGTGCTTAAATAAAAGCACTGTTGGGGAAAAGGTGATTAGTAGTAAAAGTTGGTAGTGTTTGGTAAAATAAGTGCTTCTTGTGTAATATAAAAAGTAAAAAGTAGATTCCACACGGAAGCCGAGAAAGTAAAAGTTGGTAGTGTTTGGTAAAATAAGTATTTTTTTCTTGAAAAAAAGTTAAAAACACTTTTTTTAATGGATTGCAAACAGACCTTACCTACTCTTGCGTAAAGAGTGTGATAGTTTGGATTAGCTGAAAGGTATAGTATTTTGACCAATCACACAATCCATTCAATCTTTTGAAAGATGGAGTGTTTTTATGAAGGATCATATGACTCCCTTAAGATGACAAATTAAGATTAAATCACCTTGCACCATCACTCAAGTTTCTAGTAAGGGTCAGTCTCGATTAAAACATTGAGTGATGATTGTAGTGAAACATTCTCATTGAGCCAGTTTCGTAACTGGATTGACCCATCTGGCCTGAGGTCTATTTTTGAAACACAGCCCCAGCCAGTGGCGAAGCCAGAAATACGGTCCAGGGGATCGAGAATCAACTTTATACAAAATGAAAATGGTGGATCGTTTCCAAATAATGTCCGAGTTGAATATTTTATATGTAGTTTAGATAAATAGGCACTCGTAACAATAAAAGAGACTGTTTTTGCTCTATTTTTGAGTCATGTCACTTAAGTAATGAATTAATTATACGATATTTTTAAAATTTGGGGGAAAAAATCAATATTACTCATCAAATTTTGTTGATTTTACGTTTAGATAGTGCTGATTTTGCAGAAGTCATAACTTTTTACTCGTAATGAGTTACGGGGGCCATAATATATCAAATCGAAGATATTTCAGAGCTCTATGCTCTTAAACTTTCAGCGGGTCGACTAACCCCCTGACCCCCCGGCTCCGCCCCTGGCCCCAGCCACAACCACCACACTAGTAAAATCTTACATAATTAAACCTTGTAGCCGTGAAAAGTCATTGACTTGGACCCAAATCTTTTGATCTGTTTTGGTGTGATCTCCTTAAGTTTGTTTTGATCTGGTTTGGTTGATACTTGTATGTTCTGATCTTTGTGTATTTTCTAACTATCCAAGTCTCGTTTGTTCTGTTAAAGTCTAATCTGGTGTGATCGAATATGTTTAAGTCTTGTCTGGTGTGATCTGGTCCGGTCTAGTTTGGGATTGAAGCAAATTCAAGTAAAATCATCGTAGGAGTCTATTTGGTGGCTCATTTTTTTCTCTATCAGTCTTATGGGTCAATTGTTTTACTAAGCATGTATCTTTTGATTCAACACAGAAAATTATCTAACTAGAATGAGTAACATAAATTTTGTGAATTTGCTGAAAAAGATCATGTTAGGATGTTTTTACTTGGACTATAATTTGTCTCAGACTAGACCAGACCAAATCAGATCAGAATTGGATAGTTAAAAAAATACAAAGCAATCAGATCAAACTAGATCAGATCAGACCAGACCGAATAAACCAGACCAGACCCGCAAATGTAAAAGAATCCTTAGCCACACGCCCTGACCATATATACGTACTCGATCATCTCTCGCTCCCCAATTAAGCTAAAATTAAAGAAAGCTAAGCCAAAGGCCTAAAACTATATATACACGTGGTTGGGTGGGAGAAAACTAAAGTAGCTAGCTAGCTATATGTCGGGGGTTTGGATGTTCAACAATGGGGTGATCCGGCTGGTGGAGAACCCCGGCGGCAACATCCAGAGCCGGAAAGTGCAGCTGGTTCACGTGCCGACCGGCGAGCCGATCACGTCGTACGCCGTCCTGGAAAGGAGGCTGCTGGACCTCGGGTGGGAGAGGTACTACGATGACCCTGACCTCCTTCAGTACCACAAGAGTTCCACCGTCCATCTCATCTCCCTCCCCAAAGACTTCAGCAGCTTCAAGTCCATCCACATGTATGATATTGTCGTCAAGAACAGATATGAGTTCCAAGTTAGGGGTACTGTGTAGTAAGGAGTAATATACTTACTCGCTTCTTTTTAGTTGCAACATTCCCCTTTTCACGCTTGCCAATGTACAACTTTAACTGCCATTATATTTAAATCTCTATTAGTAAAAAACTTTTAAAATTCAGATTATGAAACTTTGTAATGAGACAAATTCAATAATATTTTTCAAAAATAATAATTCACATATATTAATAAATAAAATGTAGTCAAAGTAAAGTACATGAATAGTGTGTAAATTCCAATGTTGCAATTATTATGATACGGAGGATAGTATAATGATACTCGTAATATCTGTTTGCCTTGCTTGCTTTTCAAGCTAATATACATAACATACTCTATATGTCTACATACGGAATATATGATTGGA